TCGAGATGAACATATCGCCAATGTTGCTAAGGATATACAGAACAAAATACCGCAGGTATTCGATCTTGACCAGATACGGAAAGGGTTTGGACCAGAGATATCCCCTACGACTGTGGTGCTGTTGCAGGAACTGGAACGTTTTAATAAGCTGATCGTTCGAATGGCAAAGTCATTGGCTGAGCTGCAACGCGTAAGTAAGAACGCGGCGGCTTGAGAAAATCAGTCGGGCTTCACCCACCCCAGGCTGGCACTCAGACTCTCATCATCTTTCCAGGCCTTGGCTGGGGAAGTTGGAATGAGCAGTGAGCTGGACGATGTGGCTCGGGCTCTCTTTAACGGACAGATTCCTGGCATCTGGCGGCGCCTGGCCCCTGATACGCTCAAAACACTTGGAAATTGGATCATTTTCTTTAGAGCTCGGTATAACCAGTACACCAGCTGGGTGAGTGCCTCCAGAGAGCGCTTGGGTTTGTTACTCTGCGTGATACGCGACACAGGTCGGTGCACAAGTCAGTGATCGTGCGCTGCTTCAGAGGCGTTACTTGAACTAATGCCAGTCGCCACCTAGAACGACGGTGAATTTTTGCACGACTACAGGCGCAACAGACCAGCCACTGGCTACGTTGTCAAGAGTGCTGGCCTCTGGGCTGAGTACCAGGCGTGGAGGGAGAACCAGGTGCCTCAGCTCATCTTCTGTGATTGCAGGTTAACGAGTGTGAGCCAAAGGTGATGTGGCTCTCAGGCCTGCACATCCCAGAATCGTACCTGACGGCTCTTGTTCAAGCCACCTGCAGGAAAAACAAGTGGCCCCTGGATCACTCCACCCTCTACACAGAGGTAACCGCGTACAGGACTGCAGAAGACGTCACTGAAGGGTCTACTCAAGGTATGTGTTTCTATGGTTATTTGGCAAAAATAATAAAGTAGTTCATGGGGGAGGGGGGAAACCGCCAGGCACAGAGTAAATTACTTAGACTACCCCCGCGCAGCCAGTACCCCTGGTTACGTGTCACAGTCCGCAGGATTTCAAGCTGGGAAGTAGTGGGGTCCTGGTTTCTGACACAGGGTATGAGCGGCTTGCTTCAGCTCTGCACCCCATGCACGCCACTGAACTCGCCCCCTCCCTTGCTCGCTCTCGCTAGAACGTTACAGGTCTGAGCAGGGTTACAAAGACCTATTTACACCACAAATAATAGACTGAACGAGATTTAAACAACAGCTAGGTATGAGTTACTGTGTAAATGTATCTTTATGAGCTACCTGTGACTAGCAGTGCTCTGATTACTAAATACAACAAACGCTGGGCAGAGGGGAGGGCTAAGCGATGCTTTTGGGTACGAGCCCTGATTGGGAACACAGGAGGAAAAAGAAAAGCCTGATCGGTTTTGCTCACTCTAACTTTCAGTTAAAAATAAAAGTCACCTCAAGGGCTTACCCAGACGATTCTTTATTTACTGCCATTTCATCAAAATGCTTGGTGTTTGTACCAGAACAGCTCAATCCCAGCCCTTCACCTTTTGCCAGGCCTAACGCGCAGTCCCACAGGAGTTAAAAACCTCGCTTAGAACTTGGCTGTTGCTTGGGCAAGTGACTGGAGGATGGCGCCTGCTGTGAGGAAGTAAACTGCAAATCAGTATTTATTCCTACTAATGTCCATCATCGGTCATGCAGCTGAGGCCATTTTAATTTGAAAAAAATGTTTTTAAACACAGTACCAGGCACCACAGAGAAGACCCCTCTGGGTCGCTGCAGTTGAAGATGTAGTGAGTTCTGTCGTGCCTGCGGGTGCCCAGGGCAGCTGCTGCGGGAACAGCTGTCTTAAACTGATTTTTTAGTAGCTCAGTTCACAGGAGATGTTGCATTTTCTGCCTGTGCAGGCTGCTTTGTTTCCGGTCTGTTCCTGGAAGGAGCAGACTGGGACAGGGAGCGCAGCTGCCTCACCAGAAGCAAGCCCGGCGTCCTGGTGGTGGAGTTACCCCTGCTGAAGATCATCCCCATCCAAGCACACAGGCTCAAGCTCCAGGTACGGCTCCTCCGGGGGACAGGGGGTCGATGAGCTGACCACCTTCCGTCTGTCTGCACACCTCAGCAGCTGGTAGCGCCTTCGCTCTTGGCGCAAGCAGCAGTATTCTATCGTTACTGCTAGTATATAATGTACGCGGTTTAATGCTTCTCACATGAGCCATCACTGAAGCTTCTCTTTTCTAGGGGCTACGCTAGGGGGGGTCAATATAAACATTCGCTGCCTCTTTTCCGTTCAGGGAACGTGGAGCCACCTTGGGACACTCTTATAATCCCACTGCTCCTTTCATTCTTTCCCATTACCAGTTACTGGCTGAAATGCTGTTTACATTTCCTGGGTATCAGTTATTTCAGGCTTGTAAAAAAAAAAAAAAAAAAGGGAATTTTTGAAGGGCGTCCTCTCTCCTGGAGGCCCTTCTCGTTTCCAGCTTCGTGCCGTACCGCAAGCACCACTCAGTGTCCTCCTTCCCTCCATGCTCTTTCAGAACACCCTCCGGACACCTGTGTACACAACCTCCCTGAGAAGGAATGCGATGGGTGTCGGCCTTGTTTTTGAAGCTGATCTTTACACTACAAAGCACATTTCCCACTGGGTCCTGCAAGGCGTCTGTCTCACCTTGAACGCAGACTGACACTCTGAAGCTGGCACTAGATTTTCCCCACAGAATCCAGCCCTTTGGGGGGGTGCGCGTGGTGTCTGCGTGCGTGTGTGTGTGTGGAGCCAGGCAGAGATTCACACCATGGGTGGGGCAGCGGTCACTTAGGCACACTTGATGTTAAATAGTGCAATACAGCCAAGCTAGTGCTATCAATAAACAAACACATTTGAAAAGCGGGGTTTGTAATTTGCATTTCCTTTTAGCTGGAAGGGCTCCAAGCTGGTCTATGCATATGGCAGAGGTAACACGTTAGTCTCACGCACACAAAGACTAAGGTTTGCCTGTGTGGTTGTAAGAAATGTTTTTAATTGCCCAAAGCATCACTTCTGCTGTGCTGAGAAGCGGTGCCTTCCATCATCTTTGAACAAGTGGCAGGGTATCAGTCATACAACAGCGCGCCATAAAAATACGGCAACAACAACCAAAAAAACCCCAACCCACTGCTGGTTAATGCAATACACTTAAAAATAGTAAACCACAGAGTAACAAGCCTGCTTTAACCAGCCATTTTCCAGGAACACACTTTCCCTATCCCTCCCCACCAGTCACAACACGCATCCCACCGCACAACGGGCAGGGTTGTCTGTCTGTCTGTCTCGGGCTCCAGAACAGCAAGTGCCTGAGGGGTGGGGGTGCAGGGGGTAGGGCACAGGAGGCCTTAGGGCCAGTGGCTGCTCAAACCCTGACTGGAACAACCCTGCTGCAAGGCGTCATGCTGCACAGGACATTCAGCAGTACCACAGTTGGGAAGAACAGCGTTTGTCATCCTGCCAGCGCCTGCTGGAGGCAGCTGACGGTGATCCAAGGCTCCGGAGGGAGACACACACCAACACACAGCTGCAGAAAAAGCTTAGGAGGGGCAGACTACAGCTGGCAAGGGGAAGGGCAGAGGGCAGGGATCCTTCCTCAGCTTTCACAGGGTTCTGAAGGCACATCGTAAGCTTAGCAGCATTTGGGAGCCATTGGGTCTTGCTGGTCCTACTCGGAGGCTGCAGCCAAGAGTGAAGCAGAGGCGAGCTGGAGGTGCTGAGCAGAGCTTAAGAAAAAAATGGTCAAATTTGTGCTCCTCTCCCCAAATTACAGACTCTCACAGCTCTCAGTATGCCTTTCTTTCCTAGGGAAAAAAATAATAGTTAAAAATAATCAAGTAGTCTAACAGATGTAGGGCCTACCTGTTGCTTACTAGAGAGGAGTAGGGGAACCAGGGCAAGTGCAAGGCAAGTCCATCCCAGTCCACAAGGATAAAAATCAAGGATGCCAGGTTCTCCGCCTGTGTGAACTGGATACAGCTGTTAAATTTACAACTAAATACACACAGTTTAGAGGGACAGCTCAGCTGCCTCAGCTGGCAGAAGCCAGCACTGTCTGATGATGATATCACGTCTTGAACAAGACAAAGGTTTTTCAGGAAACAAAACAAACAAACAAAAATCCCTTTACAAAAAAAAGTGCAGGTTAGAGCATAAAGACCCATTTCCATATTGGGCAGCCAGTTACGTTTTTCTCCCTGGAAAAGGGGCTCTGAGCCAGTATGGAAGGTGCTACAAGTGCAGTGTACTGACGAGTGTGACATGGGTAATGGAGCCACTCAGGTTTTATAAACCAACCCAGTGTTCATATTCTTTCTAGAAGGATCACTAACCCTTTAAAAGAGTGCTTTAATACCCCCCTTTTTTTTTTTTCCTTACTTACAGAAAGCCACAAACCAAAGTCTGTCTTTAGGATTACTCAGGTAATGCTTGCTTGGACTTTCAGGATTTTGAGAAAGAGAAACTGAACACAATTTGCAATTGCGAGCATGTGCATGTGAAGGAAAAGCTGCCCGTCAGTCATTTCAATGTGTACGTACGTCTGTGTTGTTTCCAATGCTACTGTGAGACAGGCTGTCGTGGCGGTTAGCGGCTGTGTATGGAGCGCTTACGGACACAGTGAAGACAAAAACCCCACTGATAGTTCAACTGTTAACAGCCAATAGGTATCGCTGCAGGTTTAGAGTTAGGTTTGTTTTCACTACTACTGATTAATAACGCAGCCTGCAGCCTGTGCCTTTGTCCACACGTGTAGTTACAATAAATGGTGCAGTGCTCAGAAGCAAGCGGTCAGGTACCCGATTTGGCCACAGCATTTAGTAGTTATATACCTTGCCATATGAACACAGTCATGTTAGGGTTCGTTAGAGGAGCGTAATCTATTAATGATGTATCTGGAAGAAGTTTGGCATGCATGGGGCATCAAAAGAAACTTTACTGCAGGTGCTATTTATCCTACAGGATCACAGTGCATAAACAGCAACAGAGTAGAGCATTTCAGTGATTTTACTCAAACAGTTCTGTCTGTCCCTGAGTGCTTTCTGACCACTTTGCTTCCATGGACCTGATCCACTGCCAGCGTTTCAACCTCCGGCTGAGGCTGGGATGGCGCGACATGGTGGATGCGATGCGCCACCCCAATGTGTGCCTTGTGCGGCTTCTCTCGGGCTGGGCTGTGCGATTCACCGGGTGCACGATCCGAAGCAATAGGTGGAATAACTAACGGCCTCTCCTTAATAAGATGGACCTCCGCCGTCTCCCTGGCCAAGAGAAAGGGAGTGGGATCAGGCATGGCATCCACGGGCTCTCTCAGCAGCAGCTTCCGGCTCTCCGAGCCTATTCTGTAGGCCTCTTCAAACTCGGGGTTGAGTGGTGTTGACAGACTCTTCTTCATTCGGCGCCGTGGAGTCTCCGGCAGTTTATCTTTGGGAGGGGAAGGCTTATAGTTGGACAAGACAGGACTGCCAGAAGGGGTCCCCTCTGAAGTCCCACTTGAACTCATCAGCTTCTTCTTAGCAGCATGCAGCTGAGAAGTTAAATAAGCGATAGTGCTTGCTCTCTGCTCTAGTTCACTTGACAACATGTTGAGCTTATGGCTTTTCATTTTTAACTCTTCCAAATACTTCTTTTCTCTTTCTTTAATAGTGTTTTCCAGCACCATTATCATCGCATTCTTTTGTTCAAGTTCTTTCAGTAATTCGTTATTTTCAGCCTCTTTGACTTTCAGCTGAGCTTCAAGATCTTCGCACTTTCTTTTGAGTTCATCACTTCTTGAACTACCATTCCCTAGAAGAATAGGAAAAGCAGAAGTGTTTCAAGTTAATAATAGCCACCAAGTAAAATAGTGCTCTAGGGTTCCTTTTGCCATCCCAAAGCCATAAGAGAAATCTAAGATGACTAACTTCAGCTAATTCTCTTAAAATGACTTCATCTTCAGGAGCACCAGGACAGCTGTTAGGGAAATGATGACGAGCCAGTGCCACTCACCACGGTTTAACAGTGTTGATACTAAGTAGAGAGGCCTCACATGGCCTGGGGAACAGGGATTACAGAACCCACACTTGCTGAACTTTTGCTCAAGATTGGAGCCATTTTGTGAATCCTCTGGTCGTTAAGAGGAAATTCTCCCACTGCAAATGCCAGACTGGCTGGAGAGCGTGCAGGAGCAGCTGTCCCAGCTCTCCAGGGGGATGTGCTCCGTGACTCCATAAGGCAGAGGTGTGCCTCGTCACTGAGCTGCTGTCTGAGCCTGGCTGCCTTCTCTTCACAACAGCGTGACACGCCACCTGTAACACTAGGGGTTCCTGCACCACCAGAATGGGCAGGCTGACCCCTCTCAGCACCCCTGCCCTAATGCCATGGGGCCCATGGGGCGATTCTGTCACTCTTCCCTCAGTTACCCCTGCCCTAATGCCATGGGGCCCATGGGGCGATTCTGTCACTCTTCCCTCGGTTACCCCTGCCCTAATGCCATGGGGCCCATGGGGCGATTCTGTCACTCTTCCCTCGGTTGCTGCAGCAGGATGGCTTCCCAACTCTTTAGCAGAGACCAGCAGCCTGAATTTCTCCAATAACAAGCACCCAACATCACAGGGCTATCAACTACAAAGCATTAGGTGGTGTCTCCTCCACACTGGGCAGTGGCTGAGCTTGGCACAGCATCAACGCAGCGGCATCACCCACACATCACCTACTGCGAAAATCCTGTGATGAGAAGCATCTGAGCAATATTGCAGTATCAAGAAATAATGCTGAGCACATGCAAAGCTGCTCAGTTCCTTTGCTAAATTAGCCTATTCTCTCTTATCTGCAATATGTGTCCTATCCCTGATCCGGGAGGTTACTCCCAGGGAGTATTTTATTCCCGTGCTTCACCTGTTGATAACATAATACATCTGAAATAACTAGAATCTAGCGTGTGTATATAAATGTATATATAACAATGAAAGCTTTGTGGTGTAATTACAGGACCAGCTAAGTTTTAATAATAGTTTCAACTCTTCTGCCCCTAAAATTCACGTCCCATGTTCCCATACGGCATGCAGGGAACTGTCAGAGAGGAGTCAGCAGTTCTCCACTCCATTCCTGGCTCTTTCAAAGATTTCCTATGTGGCCTTGGTAAAGAACTTGTGACATTTACTTCATAAATAACAAACTAATTCTGGAAAGTAGAAAACTACTCTTACACCTTTAGAATTTATAGAGCCAACATCCCAAGTGCAAAGTATTCTCACTTAACTGTAATGGAAAAACAACAAACTTTGAAAAAGATGAGGAAGTTTAACATGAATGTTAGAAGAAAAATGCTATGTATTCCTTACCTGACAAGTCTGAACTCTTTACAGTCAGCTCATAGGTTAAATCTGAGGAAAGAAGTTGTTTATTTTTGTTAGAACATCATCATCTACCCCATACCCCACCTGGTGAGCATATTTACAATGGCATACTTCAATCTAAATAAACCAACCCTTCCCTCCACCTGAAGCAATAGTAGATCCACTGCAATTTATCAAATCTGTAAAACAACTGGAACTATCAGGTGACACATTGCCTTTTTTTTTTTAAAAAAAAAAGTATCTTTGGTTAATGGCCACACAGTTGTGCCCCGAGACGCATGCCGATCACCCCAAATATAGCCTGGTGGCGGGCTTTGTTGCTGAGGTTTCACCGCTGAAGTAGGAACCAGTTACTCCATTCCTGTGAAGAGAGTTAAGCACCAAATCAGCATCAGCCTCCTCTCCCAGCTACCTGTGCAGTGCTGCTGCAGGCGTCGAATCTCGGCGTGCAGGCCTTTCAGCGTGTTGGCATGTTCTCGCTGGAGAAACAACAGATTCTTCTGGGCACTCTGTAGCTGGTTCTCCAGGTTTGGAGTTGCCATTCTGACATGCAGTTACCCTGTTGGTGAACAGATGCAGAACTGTAACAGTGAGTTACATACAAAGACCCTCCCTCTGCAGCAAAAAGGAATAGCTGAACTCCACTATTAATGAATTGCTATGCAATCAAGCAAATGCCACAAAAGGTTTTTCCATTTCATGACTATTTATTTAAATTAGAAGTGCTCTAAGTTCATAGAAAGCCTAATTATACTCTAGGCCAGAGCAGCATAGGGGACGCATTTGTTTGGAGTTAACACATTTAAAGGATTAACTTCCGACAGAAAAAGTCACTAATCCTGTTACCAGATAAAAGTGGAGTTCTGAGAAATGGGCCAGTATGTCCCTCCGTCTTGTTGGGGGTTTTCCACTTACCTCCAGGGATGCAGGAATTAGTAACATCCCTGGATAACAACAAGAAAGAACACACTAAAAGGCATTATCTGTAAAGAGAAATGCAAACCAGGGAGTCTAACACACAGCCAGGCCCAGCGGTACCGTCATGGATGTGAGTGCTATGGGGCGCCTTAGCCAAGATGTGCTCACTGGGACTTGTGTGAACCATAGAATGTTTTGGGTTGGAAGGGACCCCTAGAGGTCATCTAGTCCAGCCCCCCTCCAGTGAGCAGGGACACCATCAACTAGATCAGGTTGCTCAGAGCCCCATCCAACCTGGTCTTGAATGTTTCCAGGGATGGGGCCTCCACCACCTCTCCGGGCAACTCCTTCCAGTGTTTCACCACCCTCATTGTAAAGAATTTCTTCTTTATATCCAGTCTAAGAAGAAGTGAGAGAAAGCTCTGGCTGCTGTTGCATTTCCTCAGCCATGCTAGAGCAGGATCCCATACCGGTGCAGGTCCCATGGCACTGGATCCTGGGATCCCACACGGGCCCTGATGCCATGGACCAAGACAATTGCAAGGACAATGTTTCATTTAAAGAGTAAACAGATTTTTCTTGCTCAGGTTATGAGTACATGGAAAACTGTTCCATCGCTGGGTCTTCCTTGCAGAACACTCTTATAAAGGTAGGCCTTGACCACAGCAGTGCTCAGACTCAGATAAAGACAGAACTGGTTAAGGGCACAATGCTGAGGCATTCTGGAAGAGCCCTGCCCTGCCATCGTTACTACTGCTCCTGGTGAGGCAACGATGGTTTTACGCATTCCCAGAGTCCAAACTGCAGAGAAGCACCTGCCTGGTAGAGCTGGAGATACAGACTGCTGGATGAATTCCCTGATGCATGGGTGCAGCCAGCCCTTCCTGGGGTCAGCAGGGCCATGCCGTGGGGCTCTCCTGTGACCTTTCAAGAGGACCTGGAGGAGCACTCAGAGAAGCATGGAGGAGCTACCAGGTCCCTAGTGATATCTAGTCACCATGTCTGTCATGACACGATTTTGTTTATTGTCCTGTTTCCTTCTGTATACTAATGAGAAAAAAGCGACGTTGACAGTATGCAATCCTCCTGCAAACTCCAAGCACAGTCACTCAGGTCTACTTTTAGCAGTTCTTGAATTTCCCTGTGAGATCATTACAGCTCCCTGCAGACACAGAGGCTGTCCCATGAGCAGTGCTGCTACAGCCAGGGCGCACGGTGCTGCTCCCTCTGCAGCTGGTTTAGAAAGGCTGATGGTTCTACATGAGAAGACCTTTCCAGAAACATATGTCCTTAATAACGCCACATTACTACAGCTTACATTTCTTTAGCAAGAAAGCTGTCGTGCATGCAAAGCTTTCTGAAGACTTTGGGAAGTCAGCCGCCTTCTTGGGCAGCTCAGGAGCACGATGACAGCACAAAAATAGGTGCACAGACAAGTTCTAGAGCACTGGGCTAACGGGGACACTGAAATGACAGGCAGTAGCACATGCTGGGTGGGAATTACACAAGGTGTGGTGGGAGAAACACTTTCAGGGGGACAGAGCAGCACAGGGAACTCTGATAATGCCAATAATGTGGTTCCGATGCTGGGTTAAAGACTGTGGCTGCCCGAGGAGCATTTGCTTTGTCATTAAAGTACTAAGGGCTAAATTCAGTTATCTGTGTAGTTTTGTAAAAGCAATTACAGTATTTAGGTTATAAAGATAAGTAAAGAATCTGGACTCCCGTTTCCTGGACAGCCATCTGCAATGGCATTACAACCATGGTCTGTAATTACAGGACCAGATGCTGTGCATAAGACAGACCTTCATTCTGCCCCACAGCTGCCTCACAGGCACCTCAACGGGTTCCTCTTGCCATGTCATGTGTTTTCCGTTGGGCTCTTTTCGGTATGTACTTTTATGACAGAAGTTTGAGTCTATAAGTTTAAAATTGGTAGAGCACACTTTCAGAGAATGTAAGACACTTCTGTCATTCCTAAACATAACACAGCCCCGTGTTTAATTTTATGCTTTTTACTCCCAAAACAGAACGCCAGACCCAGTGGTTCTGTGCATTGGTAAAACATTTTTTTGGGGGGGAAGGAAGAGATGATAAAGAAATACACACACATACACACAGAGCCTTCCTGATGTCATCTGACACCTTAACTGACATAATCATCAACTGACGTATCCCTACAGAAGCATATATTTGATTGCAAAAAAATAAAGTAAAAGGTAAAAATAAGGTAAAATACTTTCAAGGAATCCAGTGCTGTGCAAGGGGCAAAACAGAGCTCTTGGTTACTTTGTAACAGAGATCAGAGATTAAATTCATTGCTCCAGAAGAATGAGGGTAACGGTGCCAACTTGTGCTTTGTTGAGTGGAACGGTCATTTTGCAACCACCATCATTAGCAAACAAGCAAAAATTATGGACCAACAATATTCTAAAAAGATGTTCCTGAGTTGGCTAAATAAGAAGTAAACTGAGCTGTGCATACAGACTCCTGCTCTATGGCTCCTGAAGAGCGGCTCATCCGAGCCACGACTGCTTTCGGCAGCCCGGCAGCAGAGGCCCTGGGCCGCTCCATTGCTACCACAGCCGTACCCCCCGCCGCCCGCAGCGCCAGGGCACTACCCAAGGATGGACTACACCGTCCCCAGCAATTACTGTGGGGCACCGTTCATTTTAGGGATTAATGATATTTTAGCTGTGTTACATTTTCAAAGTGACATCATCTTGTTTGCAAAGCTGACTTCAGACAGCCAGAAGCTTTACTGAATCATCCCATTTCTTACGTGAGCATTATATTCTTACCGACTCAATGTGACGCAGAATAAAACCTGCAGAGTCCATGCCCTCACCACAGCTGGAGCTCAGACTGCACGGTACACCAAGGCTCAGAAGGGATTTTTCCATCAAGAAATACATTTTCCAACAGAAACTTTAAGCACTGCCAGGGCTAGATGAAAGAGCAGCCTACACATGATAACCCAAAGCTTTACTATCACAATGGTTACTAACGGTGGCTTTATGCCCGTAACTATAATCTGAACAGAAAGACTTCACCACCAGCAACAAACAGTAAAGTGTAACTCAGTCCTTGCAAATAAATGCATTTTTAAAAACTAGTTTCTAAATGTTAGAAAGAGCAAAACAAGGCTGCCACTATTAATCTCCTCAATTGTTTTTTTCACCTTGATCTCTTGCATCTTAAAGATCACACTAGGATTACCTACTCCGAAGAAAAAAAAATAATTAGAGGCAGACTAGTTTTATAGGCTTAGGAAGAAAATAAAAATTACCAGCAGCAGAGCATCATCTTCCCTGCAGCACCTGTAAGTTCATCAGTGAGAGCAATTAAGCCAAGCCACTTTGAATTTTATCTGCAGCCCCTCTGCACTAAGTAGTTTCTCTCCTTGGAGGATGAAGGCTGCCACAAGCCTTCTGCAACCTTCTTGTGCTTTTCTTCCTCACCAGAGCCCTGTTGCCTCCCCCTTCTCTCTCCTTCAAAGGAAAGGGAAGGCCACTGTCATAAAGTCATAGCTTCCACAGCACTTATGGGCAGCAGCTTCAGTTCAAATCTCGCCCTACCCCGCCCAGTCATGTCTTTTTAAACAACAAACACTGCGCAATCTACGCGTGTCTGTTCTGGGAAACAGCCAAAACCATCTACCATAAAAAACAGGGAAAGGGGAAAGTGTCTTGCATAGACAGTCATGATACAGAGATGCTTCTGCTATGAAGTCTGCTTAGATTTGTGCACATGGGTATTAACAAGGATACATTCCAAGCCACTATTCACTTTGTACCAACTCTTAAAACACAAAATTAGACCCAATATTATTAAAGCCTGAGATCTGGATGAAACAAATTTCAACAGAATATGCATTATCTGTCAATCAAGTTCATTAACACAATAGTTAAAGTATTTTTGATTGATTTTGCAGCCATATTTGTAAGGAAATTTCTATTGCACAAATGAGGGAAGAAAAAACCCACACATCTGCAGTCTGCGTAGCTCTCGGATACCCACGATCACCCGCATCTCACTCGGTTCTAAGTTCACTGATATTTTTCCCTGTAGGACCTTTGTTAGCCAGTGCCAAAAGCTGGCCAAATTGCCAAAGTGGAAGCCAGCTAAATAGAAAATATTTTATCTTTTTGTCTTCCTAGAATAATATCAAATTGGTTTATGCCCCCAGAGATAATACAACTGAACTGGAAACAAGAAGACTGAAAATATGGGTAGGATATACAGTAAGTCAGGCCAGCAACCTAGCCAATTCATCTGCTGCTGGGCAAGCTTACTAACCAGACCATTTCTGACGATCAGAAAGATGAGGTTTAAAGGAGAGGAAAAAGCCCCTCTGCATGACGTCCCAGAAGAGTAGTCCTGAATGCAGGGACTCAAGAGCTGGACTCCAGCAGCACTCCTTCCAGGAGACATGGCTTTGCTATTACCTGTCCAGCAGCTGTGTGGTGTGCCATGTACCAAGCACACTGCACTTCATGCCTAACTTAACACCACACCATTTATGCTGCTTGCACAGCTCGTTCCACTTTCTCCAGCTATGCCAGTGAGGGTTTATTTTATTTTTCTTGCTTTGCTTGTGATTTTGCAACTGTTTACTGTATGA